TTATATCGATTTGCCATTCAGGATAACTGCAGATCGTGGGCAACTCAAGTGAGGCTGAATGCCAGTTGAACTGATCTTTGAGGTGTTCTGCCCATCGGATCAATCTCCTGGATTGAGAATGAATGATAAGAACATCCTTCTCTGGGATGGTTACGCTAATAAATGGTTTTCTAATACCAGTTTCCTTGACTAGGCAGAACAGTTGTCTGCATTTGCTTTCGCCACCCACCATTGTTCGCGACCGTTGCGTACGCCATTTATCAGCCTGTGGTTAAGTTGACTTTGCTCCTCATTTTGCTGAGAGCCAGACGGGATGAGTTTGTGAGCACCCATCAGTTCGGCAGATGCTACTGAAATCCACCTGTTCCCCCCCCCCAACCTTGTGGATTACCTTACTAGCATATAGCACTGCTGTTTCCACAGCTTCTTGAAAATCATTCCAAGCTTCCGACTCACTTTTTTTCTAGCTGTTCCTGAAATATACTCATAGCTCTGCTATCAGTAGATAAGACCCAAAAAGTTTTTCTTGCGCTGTCTGTCCTAGGTCCAGTAAGTGACAAACAAATTTGCTCTCACACTAGATGTAGAATCTAATTGGAAGGCTTTGTTTTGGCAAAATCCCTCTACGTACATATTTGCAATATGTTCTTAATGACGCTTTCTGTGCTACATTTTGGTACTCTGTTTAATCCCATTTTGTGATGTATTTGTATTTTGTTGTAGTTTCTATTTTTTGTACCTTTATTGGAGTTTCTATCTTTTCTACTGAATTGTATTATGCTGTTTAAATTGATACTTAATTATGGCGTCAACCATATCGAATTCAACACCATGGGCGGTGAACTTTGAATCTGGACTGGAAGACTGCAATTTGGGACTTATATGAAAGCATTCTTCCAGAATTGGAAACACGTTGTGTTAAAGAACAGTGTAATATTGTTTAGAACCGTTTCTTACCTAGTTAAATTGCTTTTTTGTGGGATTAACTGGGAAAGGCGCGTATCTGACTTTATCCACTGTTCTTCTGAATTCAGAAACCACTGAAAAACCCGAACACTAGATCACGGTCTGAATCTTAGCATGTGTTCCACTATGAGCGGCAGTCTTTAATCAAGCCTCTAAACCGATGACTGAACTTCTTGGGTCCAGCGTTGAGACAAATTTGGGGGTCGCCATGTGAAGAGATGTTTATCCTCATGCTTAAAGTTAATCTTTGCAGTCATCTGAGCGTGGCTGTAGTGGAAAGTCGCCATTATATGCTCTCTGAGCCGCGACACCATAACATACACCTAGCTGTCTTTCATTTTCACCTAGTATACCTACTTGAGCAAAGTCATTAGCCATTATTACTATATCAGAGCGCCTAGCCTTTTGGAGGAGGTCCGAATGCTTTCTGTAAATCTCATCTTTCACCTCGTCTGAACTGCAGTCAGTGGGAGCGTAGGCAGATATGACGAAGAGGCGACGGCGAGTGTCCCTATCCGTACGAGTCCTTACTGTCCCGTTTAGTCAGACAGCGCACAAGCGACTATCTACTGGGATCCAGTCTAGGAAAGACAGTTCTGCCCTACGACTCAATGCCTACACCAGCGATACCCCGGGAAGCAGCATTAAAACTTCCAGATACACGATGCGAAAATCGAGCTGATTCTTTGTTTTGATAAGGTGAAATCAGATTAATAATTTTACAAAGATTCTGTATGCGCGTTTCCGAGACACAGCATACATAGATTGAGCGAGATTCTAAAGTCCTAGCTAAGGAAGCCTGTTGCCCTATTTGACACAATGTCCGCACATTGAATGCTCCAACATGTAGACTAGAACGAGGTTTCAAGAGACCAGGAATAACGTTTCGTGAACTCGCATCGTTTGCATTAGCGGTACGGTGTAATAAAGGAGTGTGAGAAGGGTTAGTCGTAGAGGTAGGAGAGATGTCAGGGGGTATAGGAAGGATTTGATTTTGACCAGTGTGGTCTCGTGTGCTGCTATGGGCATGAGGGCGGTTGTCACTTCCCGTCTGCTCACATCATGGAAAGGTGTTCCCTGAAGAACCTGAATATGAGGGTAGATCAGTGTTGGTCTTAGGGACCTGGGAACATGACCGCAGAACTCAAGGGACATCTATTTGAGGCCGGTCACGCACGTCCTTTTCATAAGCCGTTTTTAAAGTGCTCGCCCCGCTTTGGTTCAAAGGCTTTAACGCTAGAGACGGAACTTCGTGGGGTAAGGTGAGGTGCAATTTTGTTAAGGTCGACCTTTTTTAACCCATTTCTCCTGTTGTGAGAAGGCGGAATCACTGCAGATGATGGTTGTCCGAGGGAAACACCTTATTGCTATCACACCCCTCTGCAGTCAGCAGTACGATTTCGCTCTCAGACCTTGAGTAGCTGCTTTTAGTCTCATCGTACTCCAATCGGCCTGCCTGGCATGGTAGGTCCTACAGGAACATACGTTACAGCCAATATGGCTCGGTCGGGTCATCACGAGAGGCAAGTCCGACCACCACGTCAAAGGTAGCAGCTATGGTCGGGTCTTGTTAGTATCAAAATCAACTGTATTCTGTCGAAGGAATGTGCTACAACTGTGTCCTTTTCAATAAAGTTTTAGCACCATTCTGATTCGACGAATACCATTTTAGTTATTTAAACCTGCATGGAAGGTTATACTCACAGGTGGCATTCGATTCTCCAAGGGATATTATATGGCTTTCCATACTGCTAGTAAGTGTGTGAGACCTGAATTCCCTTTTCCATAACATTTTATTTTCCTTACACTATTAGATATACTTCAAGATATTCAAATGAGGCCACATGAACAATCTTTTCGAAATAAATCTTAACCGAGCTACTTGCAAAGCAAAATTAGATATCAGATCATTAATAATGATAACTATCAATCTAAGGTTTGTCAGTTACAAGGACAACTTCTTGGTGTACTGTGATGTTTAAACGTGTGACCCAATTTGTGTACAAATTGTTCATTAATTATTTAGACTAATAATTGTAAAAAAACCGCACGATAGCATGTGCTATTGTAGAACCGTATGTAAAGTGGCTAAAGAGTTAACCAACAACTTTCCTTCTGTATTACAGCTAGTGATGACCAAAAAGCTTTGAGTCAGGATGTAAAATAGTGGCCGCAAAGCGATTACCTGAAGTTTAAAACATAAAATTTAGGGCGTTACTGGAAACATAGTTTACTGAGTTGGCGATGAAGATTCTTCCATCTATTGCTTTAATATCCGATTTATATGGTACATATTCTTTTTTCCAGAGACTAGTATCACTATTGCGGTCACCTTGAAACTTAACCGATACTTCAGTTGCACTAGTTTACTCACGTTTCAACAATCACTTACAGGGATTTACAGATGTACACTTAGCGGTTTAATAAAAGACAAGGCTGAATTATGTCTAGAGGTCAATATTTCCATAGTTTTGATGAAATATAACCTCATCTTGTATTTCTGGTCAGCTGACACTTCTTATGTTTAGAGATGAATCTAACTTTATTTTCAAATAGCGTTCTACATTGTTTCACGTTTGTCCTATCTGTTTCCTTACAGAACACCAGTAAGTTTTCTAGAAACGAAAAGCTAGTAGAGCAGTTCTTAAGGTTTGGCCAGGTTATTTAATTGCTCCTCTTCTGAGGTACAATCTTCTGTTTATTTATACTTCAATAATGCTGAGAAGGTAGCTGAGTTTACGCTTGACATCGCACAGTGAAATCGAACCTCACTAACATGGGATTGGTTAACTCACCATAGAACTTCCCTTACACTTTCCCGCGAGTCAATTTATACCAAAGGTTAGAGACCTTAAATGACATGTCTCAAAATCGTTTGCAGTGGCGCAGATGCATTCATTCTTTGTATTATCTCAAATTCTAATCTGAATTCATCATGAACTTTTTTCTTATTAAATTGATTCCACTGAGACGTACTGTAGATTTTGAGTCGAGGATGACTAAGAACACGTCTGCCAACCAAATACGTTCGGGTCTTCAGCTTTATCCTATCATGCAAGAAGGGAAGAAGGGATAGTCCAGATGAATAAGTATATTTGCTAGCGATTTCGTGGTATCGAAATAATACGAAATCGTGCCAGAGAAAATGGGTGAAAGGTATAGAGCAGCAAAAGCAAGGTGGCAACTGCGCAGATGCAAAGTTGGTACGAAAGTACGAATGTTCCGTAAGTCATCCACTTTTACAATTGGTCACCGGCAAATCTTGTGGACGAAAACGTTCACAATATGTTATGAGGATATTGAATAGGGAGGATAAGATGTAGCCTGGACCAGAACAGTTCAAGTAAATCCTGTGACCAATAAATTACAGAAAACTGTGATAAATTTCAGTTAACCGTTAGATCATAATAAAATGAACAAACGACAACTAGCATTATAAAACATCCATCATTTGGTTTACTTCTTGGTATAACTGAGGTATTGGATGCTTTTTTATCCACCATATTATTTACTGCTGCCAAATAGGTGACCGAGTTTCTGTTACCACTGACTTGGACACTCAAACGATAATACTAAGCAGAGATTAGGCCACGTAAAACCAGATATACGATTCAAGACCAGAACAGAAAACCAGAATAACTGATATATTATATTTCATTCCACGCAGTTACAAGCAGTTACACTCAATGAGTCCGGAATAGAAATCAATAAGAGGAAATAAAATCACAAATTAATTAGTCAGTAGGCTCTCGATGACCCATCACATTTCCCTCCCACTAATATACATCACTTTTGCCAAAAAAATATTCTGACGAAACTCAAATGTAACTGAATAGATAACAATGAAAATTTGCATAGTTTAGTTGACTCAATCAGAAACTGAAAAGTTTTCGATACACACACAATGTGTGGAAATCAGAAATACTACGAAAGATTATTACAATTCATTATTAAGGAAATGTATTACAACGTAAAATTACTTTTTTTTTCTCCGATACTGTACATAAATGCTTGTAAAAGAGTTCCAATTCCATTTACAAGAATTCTTTCATAGTAACAGGTCGCCGAACTGCATTCGAGTAACCCTCTTTAAAACGATAGTAAATATCTCGATCGATAATGGATTCTTTCTGATCACCACAATCTGTATTTCATTAGTAGTATATAAAAATAATAATAATAATAATACAATTTACCTTCAGTTGTATTCACATCACCAGAAACATTCATTTTATCATTAATAATACGTCCAAAGAAATCTTTTTTCATCTAAGAAAATCGAAAAAAGTAAATAATTCATTAGACGTAATAAATTATTGTTAAATTTTAAATTTGAACAACTTTACAATTAGTTTTACAAAAGAATAAGGATGACATTTTAAAAGAAGATTTATGTAGTAATCAACAGTTCATTTGATAAAATACTATATCGATAACGAAATTTAATGTTTATTTTCTGAATTGTCTACAAAAAAAAAGAAACAACTTAACCAGATATACATATAATGTTAACACCAATGGTGTTTGGTTAGATATCTGGGCAATAACTGCTGAATCATGAACAATAGAGATAAATAAAATCACGAAATATTCTCATACAAGACATAATGCATATATATTATCACTGACAATTTTCGACTAAACTTTAGTTCCTCCCAACAGAAGGCTAGAAATTAATTCAAAGTTAAATTTAGTGCAATGATTTAATACTAACACATACATAATCGGTTAAGCATATTTTACAATATTGTCAAAAAATTACAAAAAAACTGGAATTGAATGAGAAATGTACGAACAATTAAATAAAATTATAGCTGTACAGTATTTTTTTATCCTGACTGATTTATTGTTAGGAATTCTTTGTTTTTTTTACTGGTAGCGAAATAAATGTGATCAACAAGTTCTTTACGTAGTATGTTCTTAAAATTGTCAAATTATATCACATTTTGAGATGTTTAATAATAAAGCGACTGTTAACTTAGTATTGTCTGTGTCTGTACCATTTCCCAAAATGATTTTTTTAAACTGAAATGAAGATAGTCACAGACTAGTAGTACATAACAAGAAAATATAAAGCCATTATAATTATTAATTTTTTGTGTAGGAGTTAATTACGATTGATATTGAGACAGTATTTCAGTCATAGAAAGATAACCAACGAGTAATCCAATTATTTTAAACTATCTTTTATCCGAATCAGACACATTTTGCAGGTAATGAGAAGATGCATTTGATATCGACTAACTTTGTATTGTTCACTAAATCTATACATAAATGTCTAAATAAATAGCTCATGGATATCAACAGCAGAAAAATCCAGTGAAAATTATGAGAAGCTATTAACGTCAGTACTGACTTAAGATACATAATTATGAATGTTAACTGTATCATACCTTTGAACTTTTTGTACCAATAAGTTTTGATTTTTGTGACAAGGTATCCATTAAATTTTCTTCTGATAGTTTGGAATTCGATTTAGTGAAAGTATTACAAACATCTGGTTTATTAAAATTCCGATTAATCATTGATTCAGAACGTCGAACTCTTTCAATTTCTAATTCACGTGCAATAAACTGTTTAGTAGCATATCCAAGCGACTTTAAACTACTTGACTTTGTGAAACAAACAATGAGATCTAAGGACCTAAAAGATTATATAACATTCATGTTTTAAAAGGTAGTTTCACATTAAAAAACGGTATAAAATGTAAAATCCATAAATCTATCTAAAGTATTAGCTTCGTTCATTTGTTACGTAACAGTTGTCTACGCAAAACACTTCGGATTCGTTGACCGAACAGCATCAGCAAAAACCTACGGTGGGAGAGAACATACAGATTTCAGCGGAAGAGGAAATCAGGAAGAAACGGTGAAAGTGGATAGAACACACACTGAGAAAAGCACCCATCTGCGTCACCGAACAAGCCCTTTCTTGGAACCCTCAAGGTAAAAGGTAAAGAGGAAGGCCAAAGAAAACATTACGCCGAGAAATAGAGAAAGACATGAGGAAAATGAACAAAACTTGGACAGAACTGGAAAGGGAAACCCAGGACAGCGTTGGTTGGAGAAAACTGGTCGGCGGCCTATGCTCCATTTGGGGGCAATAGGAGTAAGTAAGTAAGTGATCTGTTACGAAAAGATAAGTGATTTAAGCTTCTGATATATTCTGGTTAAATTATAACTGTTCGCTAATCACTAAACTGTATAAAGCAAAATGTTTATAGAGTTTGTAAACTACATTGAAATGCAAATTATTAGTACATAAAATAAGAACTGATGAAAATTTCTAAATAAAATTACAGTAGCTATTATTGAGCGGTGCTTATCCAAGAACCGACAAGGAATTGAACATATGACTTTCAAGTGTTACGAGGAGGATGTTATATCTAGAGCATTGAGTTAGAACTCGATAATTTATAGTTCTGGCTTCACATCAAAAGGCTAGTCTGCAGTAAACATACACGCAAACATAACGTATATAAACTCTGAGATTCTGAAGTGTCTGAAGTATTTTGAGCATGAACCACATAGTTATCATGTAATTCAATGTTCACCAGGAGAAAATGAACCTTTTTAAAAACAAAAAAAAGATAAGGATATTGTACTTACGGATCAAGTTGATATTGAACTTCATTACTTTCAGAATCCTGTTCTGCTAACCAATTTAAGCCAAGATTTAACATTAAATTAACTAATTTGTTAAGTGCTAATTTCTCATGTTGACTATACAATTGTGCACTTAATGGTCGAAGAGTGGAAGCGATCAAAGTTAACAGAGTAATTAAAATAGATGCCATATCTAATAAAAAATGACGACGTGGTAGAAATCTAAGAAAGTTTAAAATAAAAAGTAGAAAATATTGCAATAAAAAAATGATTAGATTACAGATAAAGAACTTTACTCAAAAAATAATCTTGTGTGTAGCATCTACCACACTACTATCATAGTGCTCACCTTGTTAATTTCATCTCAGTGTATTGATGTAGGTTAAAACACATTTGTACCAGGTTCTAAATTGATTTTGATTCAGTGATTGATGAGATTTGTCAACAATAATAAGTAAATATGATAAATCTAAGGAACAGGATCCTAATAATTTATTCAAAAGAACATTAAATGTACACGTTAAGTCAAGTTATGAAATATCGGTCAACAGAAACTGTTCTTTCATAATGTCCTAAAATAAGCCATTTTAATGAAGATAAGAAAGATTATAGTACTGTAATTGACTGTTTATACCATAAAAGTAAGTTTATATTCACCACACTATTCAACGAAACAACTATTGTAAACGCCAATACAAAGGAGTTTCTCTTCTAACAGTTAGTCTGACAATCTGACTCAACAGTTAAAGATTTAATGTTTGAGTTAGTTTATCTGACAATTATCGACAGGTTGAAAAACCTGTAACTGTACGAAAAGACTAAAAATACAATTATTAGCCAACAAGTTTCAGTTATAACATTTTGAATGATAAAGAAAACAGAGAACTGATTCTCACCACACAGAAAAAAAACAATTCGATTCATTACATACCTAAAGCTGTTAAAATTACTGACAGAGTCATCCGATTTACATCGAGGTAGATTCCATTGGTTTAAATATAGCTGATCCAATATTGCCAAATAACGTGAACGAGTGGCCGCAGCTTCTGAAGGAGCAGAAGGCCAACGTAAACCCCCTACAGATTTGACATTTCCAGTTGATGTGCTGTTTGCAGTAGTAAAGGTGTTGAAAATGCCTGATGGTGTAGCTAAAGCCATATGAAACCAGCAAGGCAAGAAATTAGCATAGCGTAGAAGTGAATAATTCGATTTAGTTTGTACACAAGTGTTAAGCAAATCGTCAAATACAAACCATTCAGATGCTTGACAAGCCTAAAAAAAAGACAAGAGTGATGAAAGTGTAACATTTCAAACAAGAATCAATATCTAAATATAAAAGAATTAAAATAACTGAAGAAATGTGACTTACTACTCGTAATGTTGAATCTTTCAAACGACCATAAAGATAATTCTCAAAGATACCCAGTGTGATTTGTTGATGATCAGCAGAAGCTTCTGTAACATTCATTATATAGGCCAGTCTTAATTTGTTTTGATAGATAAATAGAAACACAGTTTATATGCAATAACAATGATCATCAACTTTGAAAGTAAGCAATAATAAAGTTAAACAATGCTAGAATTAAGTATTACTTTGCACTGTAAACGACGTTTGGATAATGCAATTTTTCTTACCAAATAAAGGTTTATCGTGCTTGGCTATGAGCCAGTAAGGTTTGTGTAAGGGTGATTGATACTAGCCAGCTGACTAAACCATTATAGATGGAAAGTTAGGTACTTCAACTATCAAGCTATTGCTTTGAATTTTATTTTTCTCTGTGAGGTATGACAACTTTAACTACTAGTTTGGTAGTAAACACAAAATTAGCAGCATCTATCTCAGTTTATGCAATCAAATAGCATCATTATACCCCTCCCCCACAAACAACCAGTACAGTTTAAATCCACTAATAAGTTACACTCATTCATCCTAATACTTCAAAAGAATTACAACATAGTAAGCGACTATGTTTATAGTCGAATTACAACGAAACACGAAACCTGACCACTATATTAGTTTCAAACAAACAGTTATATGAAAAAAACATACACATGATGAACTAATGAATTTTGATAAATCCCTTGAAAAATCAATCAAATCTGATTGTTGAACGAGGAGTTGAAATTAATGAATTAAATACTTGGAGATTTATATATGACATAGTTTGTATGTCATATTTTGTGAATAGACCTAGTATTATATTTTTTTGTTAAACAGTTATTTCAAACTTTGATTCAGGTTTAAAAGAAATTACTTTATAGAATTAAAATTTTATTATAATACCAATGATTTTCTTTTTCGGATGATAAAATGATAAGAAATTATTACAAGCATACAAAATTGATTCACAAATACATCTTCCTATTTCAATTAATCTAGAAAGAGGTTGGAACCTTGTGCCAAATAGGAGAACAAGCTTCCTTAGCTAGAACTTTAGAATCTTGTATCATCTAAATATATGCTGTGTCTCCGAAATACGCATACAAGATCTGTGTAGAATCATTCATCTTCATTTTATCAAGATAAAGAGGTTCTGTATTATGATATTGTTATGTATGCACGTAAACACGTCAATTTGATATGTTTGAACTATCACAAGTTTACCTTTGTCGGAAAAACGAGAGAGAGAGAGGATCGAGGATCCGGCGACACGACAAACTACTCTAAATCGATTGTCCCAAACCTCCATTGAGTAAAAGAAGACTTAATATGAAGTAGAACATGCATTCTAAAAGCATCCACAAAGTACGAGGTCCGAGTCCAGAAGAAGGCAAGGATCCCGGAATGAGGACTCGGGTTCGGGTCATAAAACGTCACAGATAATGCGTATTTATACAGTTAGGTCGAATAAGAAACAGTATTGAAGTCTGTGACATTGACAGTTAGGACGACCAATAGAATTAGACTTACAAACAATTATCTTAGAATATTGGATGAATATCCTAAGAGATATATATTTAAAATATTGTTATATCATCTCTATAATGACTAATAAATAGTACAACACTGATGTATAGACAAGTACATATTTCAACATTCATTAACTAATCCATGCAAGAAATTAAAGCGAAATGAACAACCATTCAACTTCATTCAGTGAATTAATTAAAGAAAAAGAAAACGTACGACACAATGATATTTATAAATCTGCTTAATTGATTATGATCATCATTATTCAAATTCTGTAATACATAAATACAGAAAAAAAAATATCCCGAACTTACCTAGCAGATTGAGTATCAACATTTTGACCATTTTTTCTTTTTGAAAGTAAACGAGCTGAAGGAATGGTGAATACAGCTTTCCATACATCGAATACACTTTTCTGAACATCTTTAAGATTACCATTATGAAATTGGGACAATGATAAAATATCATTTTCGGATAAACAATCTAATTTATGGCTTATATTATTATTGTTATTATCTAGAGATTTCACTGAATTTAAGAACTGAAAAAAAAAAGAAGACAAAATCTTTTGAAAATTAATGAGACAAAATGATCTGACAAAAGATTTCTAACCAATGGTAAATATGAATTGTTATTTTCATTTGATTACAGATTACAAACTAGGAGTGAATTTACGGTTTGCATGCGTAACGAAGTGCATGCAGTCAGTCTAAGTGCCTGGTTGATACATGTATACTATCAGATGAAAATTTATAAAACATAGCAATGTATCTTTTCTCTCATCATATAGTATATAAAATAATGAAAACGGTAAGGAAAACCACAGAATACCGGGCAACTTACTAATAGCTGCCAATAGTATTGTGTTTTGTTCTCATGTACAGCGAAAACACGGGTAATGAGAAAAACGTAAAAAGTCGGCTGATATACACCTGCCAACATATTTGTAAAAAATCTCTTGTGTGTAATGATAGCATATTTTAGGCTGTGACTGCTAAACTGAGTATGATTTTTTTAGGTAAAGAGAGTAACTGCAACTAGAAATTTTGAAATCCTACACCAAAGACACATAATATGCAGTGACTTACAGTCCCGAAAAACATTAAGTCCACCTGGAACCCTTCAAAGCTCGGATAAAGGGATTGAGGTTTGCGACCTCAACCCGTAGAAAACTAACTAGTTAAAAATCGCTAACCAGAAAAAATAATTCAAGCCATTTAAACTCTGTCCTGGAACTTAAAGGCACTTCAGTTAGAAGAGTCCTGACGTCGCACGATGAAAGCTGAGTTCCTTGGGAAGTCAAGAGGCCCATGCCCCTTCTGACAACTAGCGCAACTATTAATGTAGGTACACGGAATGTTCGTACAATGCGGAACACCGGGAGAGTCATCTAAGTTAATGCAGAAATGAAAAGATACAATCTGCAGGTGCTTGGAATAAGTGAAACACATCAGACACAATTTGGATAACTAAGACTAACTCCAGCAGAGCTTCTGTTATATTCCGACCATGAAAAAGAAAATGCTCCATATACACACGGGGTTGTTGCACTGATACTATTCAAAGAAGAAGAACCACCAGTCTAGAACAAGGAGGGCACTACAGTCACCGATATTAAAGAATGGTGAAGAAGGTGGGTAGAATACTTTGAAGAACCATTCAATCGACCAGCCCCGCTGAACCTACACAACGTCGAAGGGGCACATACGAACCCTCCTATTGACCTCAATCTGCCAATAATCAAAGAATTTCGCACGGCCGTCTGACAAATCAAGAGTGGTAAAGCAGTAGGACCAGACAACATACCAGTTCAAGCACTGAAGTTACAACAAAGATACTACACGCTCTCTTCAAAAAGGTTTGGAAGCAAGGACAAGTATCAACAAACTGGAAGGAAGGACACATCATCATGATACTTAGGAAAGGAGATCATAGCAAGTGTGGGAACCACAAAGGCGCCACACTACTGTTGATACTAGACTATTGGGATATTTCTGTACATTCAAAAGAATGACAACTGAATAACTAATGGAGGTTATTGGTCAACTTCGTTTTTTTGATCCAATGAGTGTGTTACATGATAAACTCTAGCATCTATTGTTGCAAAACAACTAGGTTTTTGGCATATCCGCTGATATAGTGAAAACCCGAAATTCCAGGACATGGATTCAGAATGTAGTGGACAGCTCAGATGCAGCGCAACAAATTGGACTTCGCAGATGAAGAGAACCAGTGTACTACTACTTATAACCAACCTTATGAATAGCATCCACCACACTATGATCATAAGACAGCTTCGTCACATTTTATTCGACAGATATGGTTAACAATAGATACTTTCTAAATATACCACAAAGGAGATTAGAGGCTAACAATATGGTTGAAATGATTTCTTCTCTGTCTTTCCGCAAATGCATGCATATTCTATATATTAAAATCTATTGTCATCCGAAAAATAAACAATACTTGATTAATCTACTAAAACTTTTTTCTAGAAATTTGTTTTAGGTCGTGAACTATCATTTACAACCTAACCAGTACTTTTAGATCAATGGTCGGCATAGGTAGTGAAATCACTTTTCAAACAACGTGAAGAGCACCATGGTAGCTCGAAATCGATAAAATATCATCTGTTACTTTGATCATTTTATATCAAAGAAACTTCACACAAAGTTATTTTTAACTCCTACCTTCTATGAAGCTGTGAATATATATATTGTTAACTTTAGAGGTAATTTTGACTGATATGTGAATTATTGTGTTTCATAACTACTACACAATCAGTTTTCTTAGTCCGAACACATGTTAATTCCATAATAGTTGACCGCTGTGATCACTAGATCATATGATTCTATTTCAAGAATTTTTAAATGTAGAGTAATGAAAACATCTATGATGTGATATGGTAGATTTCTAGTGGGCTTACACACTTAATAACTCTATAGATAACTATTAGTTGAAGACTAGTCATTACAAATGAACATACTGACCCTTATTACCACAGTTCGAAAGTATCCGAAATTCATTTCATTTAAATAAGTAAATAAGTAAGAGTGGCAGTTTACTTCGAATAGTCAAATATCCTTAAACCTAACAAAGTATGTGAATTAAAATTAAAGCACACTTCTCAAACATACACTTAAGTACAGTAATTTTTTTGTTTAGGAAAATGAATTTCTCGGAGCATTTACGACCTTCATAAACTATTACTATTTTTTCTAAAAAATAAAACTAACTATGATACTAGTTTATTTTTCTAACAGCAAGATTCAATAATATATGCGAACCGTTATTTTACAATGATCTAGCGCAAATAAGTTATAAGTATTAAGGTAAACTTTGACAGAATTCATTGTAACAAAATGGATGAGCTTTCCATCCCAATAGAAACCCATGAACAAATAAAAGTCTCTAGATAAAATGAAATATGTACAGAAATAATAACCAAAGAAATTTTAACTAACTTGCAACGTATTTAAACACGAACGAATATCTCGGTCAGACATTTCTGCTAAATGTGTAAGGGTTATTTTGTCGACAGATAATCCTTCTGTCCTAGTTATTAAATCAAGTCTAGAAACCAAACGGCCTAAGTCAACACTGGGTATACGTATAGTTAGGCAAGGTATTCCAGGAGCTCGTAATGCCCGAATCGATGGAGAATATCTAACAATAAAAAACAAAAAGACCTTTTAAAAATTAATTCACATAAAGAATTGAAGAATAAAACATACACTGATGATTATGTCAGTGAACAACTACAACGTAGAACTTCGTACATACGTACATAAGTTCAGATTGCTATATCACATTAGCACAGAGACGTAATTTTCACTTCAAATCCCATATTAGTAGAGGTAGTATGAGTATTAGCAGTAATCGGAGTGCATAATACATATTATGCACTACATTTACGTCTACCGATTTCAGCTCAACGACTATGTATAACCAGATGTTTCCACAGATCAAATATAGTTTTTATACAGTAAGTGAACCTATACAAATACTTAAATTTATTTTTCAAAGTAATTTCTTTGGACAAACGAGCTTTAAGTCATATTTATAAAAAATCTTTACAAAATAACTACTCAAGAAGATATTTTGTAGAAATCTCGGTATTCACCAAAGATATACTCAGAATAAGACTAATTAGCAGAGCACGCCCAAGATAACATAAGCGAACGAACCCATGACCTTTAGGCTTCATGTACAGTCCATCACTTCCAGACCACTGGGTACTCATGAATGCCAATCCAATAGTTCAATAGTTAAACGCTTGCCCATAGGCCTGAAAGTCTTCGGTTTAATCTATTCTGGAATCGTGAGTATGCGTTGCTGAGGAGTCTTATACTAGGTCGAGTAAGAGCTTATGACGAACTGTCATGGGAATTAGTTAATTCAAGTGGTGTCCGTCAGGGCTGCCCACTTCCCCCATTCTTGTTCAATTTTGTCATAGACATGGTGCTAGATATAACATTATCTTCGTTTGACTCTTCAAGAGTAGATCTGATACCAGGAGGCTCGCTTATTGACTTAGAATATGCCGATGACATAGTCCTACTTGGTGAAGATGCTGACAAAATGCAGAGTCTTCTGACCACCCTAAGCAATAATGCAAGCATGTTTGGGATGCGGTTTTCCCCCTCGAAATGCAAAACGTTGATTAAAAATTTGGTCGCATCGGCACTTGAACTAGGGATAGGGAGTGAAGTAGTCGAACGTGTCGACCGCTTCACTTACCTCTGGAGTCTCGTCAGTGCCGATGGGCTGGTGACTGAGGAAACCTCAGCACGGATACAGAAAGCTCGATTGGCTTCTGCCAACTTGCGTCATCTATAGCGCACGCGAGATATTCGTTTGCTCACCAAAGGAAGAGTGTACTGCACAGAAGTTCGCTCCGTCCTACTATACGGATACGAAACATGGACGGTGAGAGTAGAAGATATTCGTAGATTGCTTGTCCCCGAAGCATTGTTTATATATCCTGGGACAACCGAGTAAGCAATGCTGTCGTTAGGAAACGAGTTCTAGATAGGGACGGCAAATCAATAGATGAAGTAGTGAAACTTCATCAGTTGAGGTGGCTGGGACATGTGTTACATATGACTAACCACCGACTGCCTCGACGAGCTATGTTTTGTGGTGTAGGAGTAGGTTGAAAGAAAGCTAGGGGTGGCCAAACCAAAATATGGCACAAATCCATGAAATCAATGACAAGTAGACTGAGTCATGTTGGTAGATGTAAACTACCAGGTTGAGGTCGGCGAGACGAAAGTCACCAGTGGTTAGAGACCTTCAATGACATGGCTCAAAATCGTTTGCAATGGCACAGGTGCATCCACTCTGTGTTCTCTCAAATTCTAACCTGAATTCCTCATCATCTCTATCTTTCTCTTTCTAACTTTGTCTCACTGAATTATACCCTAATCTTCTCCATTACTGCTAATACTTCTGCTATCACCACCACGACTGAATTTGAACTGACGGTTGCGGAATGGCAACCTGAACTGATATACGTTCGTACGAAGTTCTGTGTTGTATCTGTCTGTCTCATACTAGGATGAAACAGCCTCTCAGGGTTTCCTGGTTTTCAATGGTGTCCCAACTAAGGTCAATCTGCAAAGTATACAAATAACTATTCGTTAATACTAGCATGTACACAAACTTAATACATAATTTAGCACAGTGGAATTGTTTTTTAATAACAGCTATCAAAACTTTAAGTGTTTTATTTGATAAAGCAAATATATCAGTAGTGAATAGAAATCGAATTATTTCGATGTGAAAAGATTAACAGAACCGAAAGTGCTTTATGCGAGGTGTACATATTTTTATTACATTAGCTAAAGAAGCCCAGTTCCAAAAGGATGCATTAATAATATACTGACTCAAAGTATATTTAACTTAGAAGACACTATTAATTAATCAAACAAATGGTGTATGTGTTTTTATCTTGTCTACCTTTAGACGCCGTTGACTTAGGATATGCAAATCGTAGTCATTCGGCTTACGATTCATGCCCATAGATTATATTTCGAAGAAATTCAAAATAACTCTTTCTCTAGATACTTGAATATGAGCGACACTTTAGCTGTAAGGGCTAACCCAAAACGATGCGGCGGGGCTCGGACCTAGGACTTAGTGGTCGAAAGTCAAACTCAGGAATCTCGTTGTGCTGACGTGGTGCAACTTGAACCGATCCACGAATGCGCCGGATTCTACGTCACGTATGACTTACTGATCACATCAAACCAAGCCCACGAAATTTCAGTAAACAATAAATAACATTGACTAGTGCATAATACAACATATATATATATATATCAAACAAAAGTTCTACACTATACTCACAGATCATTACAAATACAAATGACAGGACGACGTAAAACTAATGGAGGATTTGCTCGCCTATTTCGCTGTTGTCGTTCAGTATTAGATAGCAAAGTATTTTTTGCAGCATTCGCTAACATTTCAACCACTGCAGGCATGGCTCCATCTATTTCATCCATAATTAAGCAACACGGCTTAAGGCATGTTTCATGATTACGAAAATCTGTATTTTTTGATGTATTCAAACTGGTCGAACTAGAAACAACTGCTGTTAGGCGATCACGTAGTACACCTAAACTACGATCATCGCTAAAAATATAACACATAAGAATAACATAAATAATTATTAATCAAGTAAAAGTTTGAATTTAAACTTTTTTTAGTATGAGAGCCAATAATAATATAAGCGGATATTCAAAACAAGATGAAAACTGAGCTGAAGCCTACAAACTACGTTTGTAATTATAATGCTCTCAGAACTAAACTAACCTTGTAGCAATAATTAGAATAACGGATAGAAACTCCAAGATGGAAAAAATACACTCTTATGTGGGGTATGGATAATTAACGCGCAAATTATTTGCACTAATCCAATGAGCAATATAGAATACTAAAGAATATCCAACTGTATGAACTCACAAGCCTCTAAAGAGGAATCAATATCAGTGTCTGGTTTTCAATAATAGTATGTCACCAGTAACTGTTTGAAACGACTCCACACAAACGTACAATGTTATTGTTGTTAAATGATTAAAAACACTCGGCGGAAATTTCATGACATACATTTATGACAATTTTGATTTATTATTAAATAGATCTAAAAAAAAGTGGAAATTATGCTTCGTTGATGAATCTAATTTATTTCATTGTTTAGAGCAGTCATTAAATGTCTCAGGAAATAGTTATTCCTCATAAAACTATCAAGTTTGCAAGCATGTCTTTGTCAATACGTGTTGACGAATATGAACTACTTATTGACTGGTACTAACTAACTATTATTATTTGTACGATATTCTAATATTAGAAATAAAAATAACTGCTTACACCACTGCCGGTATTAGACAGTGGTAATGTTAAACTAGGAATTAGCAGAAGGTATGTACGATGTAGTCATACGAACGATTGGTCACAGTTCAGTATTCAACATGAAAATCATAGTTAGACTCGCAATGAAACATAAAAAACTACTATATCTATCAATAAGTCAATATATTGAATAAAACTTATATTGATGATTTGTAATTGGGATTTAAGTCAAAAACTAACCTTGCATTTATTTCAACTACTTGATATCCAACATGCGCTGCCAACAAATGAGCAAGAGTTGTTTTCCCCAAACCTGGAGGTCCAGAAATCAATACTAGTCTATATCGAGGCAGTCCATCACGAGGATTAATCTCACTAGCGACAGCTTCAAGATCGCTTGATTTGTATGATGCCAGTCCTGGATTTGTGGTTGATTTAACTTGGGCCTTAGGTACTGAAGTACCAAATACATATGGATCCCAGGCTTTCAACCACCTGAGCAAAGTTCGATTAGTAGTCTGCAATAAAACATTTTGACGGGCATTTTGACAATAAACAGGCAGAATTTAAAAGCAAGTTGAGTTTGACAACAGAAGAAATGGTAAAAGTGAACTATCTGACGTTAGACAGTTGGTCTGTTATGAGTAAAATACATCGACAACTAGGAATCTCTACATATCTGTCTGTTTATGATAAATATGGGCAAAACTAGCCGGGTACGTCAATCTATATGGTTTTAGTTTGACCGTTATATCGAAAATTCATACTTATTACACAACCCCATACAAGCTTCTGTTTATCAAAAAATGGTATGAATAATATTATCGGCTTACTAGACTGATTAAAATCAGTCTTAATATAAAAATTTTAAATTTGAACAAGCTTTTTCAAATCTATCAATTGGTTTCTAATTTCCTAATCAGCTCCAGTAGGCTAAAATTGTGAATTATTGGTTAATCATTCTAAAATAGTGTAATAATCTCTTAGCTCAACTGGAACAGAACATACAACAAGTTAAACAATGGATATTGATACATTTTTAAATATCATAGTTGTATGAAGCAACGAGGATGCGATCAAAAAATAAGAACATACATCCCACCTCAAACACATGCTAAGTATCAATGACTAAAGCAATTGAGTAGATATCGGAGAAAATTTACAGTTCAGGTTGATGATTGTAATGGAATTTCATTCTCTGAGCTGGATGTTTTGGCTGTGGAGCTTACATTGTTCTTCTGAACAACATCAGCACAAATTCGAACACTTTACTTCTATCTGAAGTCTGTGATGATGATGTCGCTCAAAAGAACAATGAAAGCTACACAACCAAAACATCCAGCTCAGAGAACTAAACTCCATAGCTATTAAGTAGGTTAACAAACGTACAACTAACACACTAGTGGACCACCAAACACATTTACTTACTTACTTACGCCTGTTACCCCCAATGGAGCACAGGCCGCTCACCAGTTTTCTCCAACCAACTCTGTCCTGGGCTTCCCTCTCCAGTTCTGTCCAATGTTTGTTCATTCCTCTCATATCTTTCTCTATTTCTCGGCGTGATGTGTTCCTTGGCCTTCCTCTTTTCCTTTTGCCTTCAGGGTGCAATGTGAGGGCTTGTCTCGTGACGCAGTTAGGTGCTTTTCGTAGTGTGTCCTATCCACATCCACCGCTTCTTCCTCATTTCCTCCTCCGCTGTAATCTGGTTTGTTCTCTCCCACAGTACGTTGTTACTGATGGTGTCTACCCAACGAATCCGAAGTATTTTGCGTAGACAACTGTTAATAAACACTTGTATCTTCTGGATGATGCCTTTCGTAGTTCGCCAAGTTTCGGCTCCACACAGTAGAACTGTCTTCACATTTGTATTGAAAATCCTGATTTTGGTTTCGGTTGAAAGTTGTTTGGAGTTCCAGATATTTTTCAACTGTAGAAATGCAGCCCTCGCTTTGCCGATCCACGCCCTCACATCTGCATCAGATCCACCTTGATTGTCGATGATGCTGCCAAGATATGTAAAGGTGTTAACGTCCTCCAAGGCATCTCCATCAAGAGTGATTTGGTTGGTGCATGTTGCGTTGCATCGGAGAATTTCGCTTTTTCCTTTATGTATGTTGAGACCTACTGCTGCTACATTGGTCGTCTTCTCCTGCATTTGTTGTTGCGTGTGCGATAGAAGAGACATACCATCTGCGAAGTCCAGATCGTTGCGTCCTAACTGTCCAGTTGATACCGTGCCTCCCTTCAGATGTCGACGTCTTCACAATCCAGTCGATGACCAGGAGAAAGAGAAAAGGTGAAAGTAAGCAACCTTGCTTAACACCGGTCTTCACCTCGAAAGAGTCTGTTAGCTGTCCTTCGTGTACGATTTTGCAGTTGAATCCATCATAAGAATTCAGTATGATGTTAACTATCTTCTTAGGCACACCGTAGTGTCTAAGAAGCCTCCATAGTGTTTTCCTATCCACACTATCGAATGCTTTCTCGTAGTCGATGAAGTTGATGTAGAGTGGTGAGTTCCATTCAATTGATTGTTCCACAATGATCCGTAATGTTGCAATTTGGTCAGTACACGATCGATCCTTACGAAATCCGGCCTGTTGGTCTCGAAGTTGGGCGTCTACGAAGTCCTTCATTCTGTTTAACAATACCCTGTTGAAGACTTTGCCTGGTATTGAGAGAAGAGTGATGCCTCTGTAGTTCTCACACTTGCTGAGATCGCCTTTGTTTGGTATTTTGATCAGGTATCCTTCTTTCCAATCTGATAGTACTTGTTCCTCATCCCAAATCTTCTTGAAGAGGATGTGAAATATTTTCGCATTTACATCCAGCTTATATTGTGAACATACTAATAATATTAATCGATATAACTTACCTCATCTGATATCAAATCTAAATAAGTAGATGGTGAATATTTTGTAGTCCATAATTGTGCGAAACCAGATTTACTGTGTTTTTCTTCGATCTGTGCACTAATTATGTTAGACCTGGCATTTTTCAGCTGATATATAAATATAAATAGATACATGATGACAAAGAAATTGAAAAAGCCTACCAGTTCCTTAGCCTCAAACACTAAACCTGATGATTCATAGCTACAAAAAGATTTATTCGATTTGTCAGGGAAATCATCATCAGATTCATTGAAACTTAGATAAAATCTTTCACCATTATTAAATGTCACCGAAACATAATCTCCGACCAATGGTATCCTTTTCAATAGACCAGCACTTTTTGATATAGATGTATGTGGCTGAATAATGTCTTGGAGCTTTTCTTTCTCGTGATCAGCAACTAACGTCTTTAATATTTTTGGTGAACTACCTAAAAAAATTTATCAATGGGGATAGTATTAATTATAATTACATTGTTTTAACTCTGGTGATAGCGTTCTCTTATGGCTAGGATTTTGGAAACAGCTGTTTGCGTTACTCGATTGGTGATTTTCATATTTCACTTCTTCGTCAATTTCAAGTAATCTATCAAGATCATCATCACTACAGTCACAGTTTAACATTTATAATGATGTGGTTATTAAAAGTCCTATAATGAAAGAGATAAACGGAACAATATTAATTACTTGTTAAATCAACAAGACATATGGTATTATAAATGACACTAAGGTGGTCTAGTAATTATTCTTGGACATAATCAATGTAAAGCCCGACATAAACATGCATTAGTTCAAATCGCTAAACTTCATTTTCACAATGAGATGAAATTAACAAGACGGGTACAGAACGGATCGAATTAACGTAGTATCAAGGACGATTAGTAAGACTAAGCATTCGGAATATGGAACGAAAAGACAGAATGGAAGATCTGTATGAAGTCCCCATTTGTTCCTCAACCGAAACACTAGTAAAAAAGGGGCTAAGTGGTTTATCGGGTTAATGTTTGATCTTCTTTTTAGTTGGTTTCCACCAACAGCAATGACCTACATTGGGACAGCAATACTCATATTTTTACCAGATTTCTGCTAGTGATAATTATGCATTCGGCTTTTAAAACACCTTTTAGTTTATGAATTTCAGCAGTATTTTTAGTTCCTATACGAAAAGGGTTAGTATCCTATGTATGTCACCAGCACGAAAAACTCGTTTTGAACAAAACTGACTAAAACAATACGTTAATTTACGATCATAAAAGATGCTCAAAGTGTTGGAGTTTCACATAGTGATTTGCTTTTACCTACTTTTACCTGTAGAATGAACCAGTGGAACTAGTCCCAAAGCTTGTGGATCTGAGCACTTATGTGAGTCCCAGTGGACGTCTTGTAGGAAAATTTACTTCACATTTTGGAAATCCAAATGACGTCTTAACTTAGGGAAGCTACATACATTATTGCGATATTGTTACAATCCGGATAATCACTGAGTCGAACTTGTGGAATTCTGTTAAAAGAACAAAACCTGTTCTTACTGAGTGTTCTATAGACCCCTCATTAATTTGTATGGTCACCACATCATGAAATCAGTAATATAATTACACGACGTGTTCAAGAACTGTAATGATTTATCAATTATAGAAGTTATCCCATATTACAAACTTTTATATCTTCGATACATCTTACGTATATTAATGCATCAAGTGCTCTTTGCTGCATCTTGAACAGGTAGGAATAAACGTAGATACTACCGATTTTCGGCATGATATGGACAATAATAAATCCCCAGCATTTAAAGACGCGTTACAAATGAGAACGAAGTTATGTAAATCATGTTAATTAGGGACTTGAGTATTTATTACATACAACTCAAACCAAGATCAACGACAAATCCCTTAAGTTATTTCCATCCCGAAATACCGGTGAAGCTTTCTGAATATTTTTCTTTTCTTTTGTGATAGCCATATTTACTTTTCTTACTTCTTTACTTTTACTACTTACTACTACTACTACTACAAAAACAAACATTTCCCAATAAACAGGGGTTGAAATCTCATCCCAGTAACCTAAAACAGGAGCACTTAAATGACTTACCAGCAGGAAGCAGATAAGCACGTCATAATTACATTGTAGACAATTGACTGGGTGTAGACGTTTTTTGGCAAACATTGGAACAAGCGTCGTTACAATGGAGAAAATTTACTGGTTAAACTTGATCTAATTGGGGCTTAAGTTTAGCTGCTCCTTAATAACCTTTGCGAAATAACTGCTGTCTAGACATCAACAACCACCGATACTATTAAAATAATGATTAGAAATACACCCGTACTGTACTAGGCCACTATAAATTTGAACCTACTTTTATATAAAGCATAATAGACATAATCGGATCACATTTGTGTTCAAAACTTATCAACATATTAACTTTAATTGTTGGAGTTTTGTCGATGTATATCAGGATAACATAGATTATATGTTGTAGGTTATAACCTATAATTGACTCACAAATACTAACACAAGAATCATGATTCGCATATCAAGATACCAATCTAAAAATCTGATAACACAAGTTTTAGAAACCCTGACTAAATGAATGGCTTTGAGATGAAAGGTACATCAGCCCAATATGCTTCCCGGCTGGACTTTTGCTGCAGGAATGATATCATACGCCCTATAACAATATTAGCCGTATTTGATAAAGGCTGAACACCGTATGCATGAAAATAATACTTTTGTCAGGAAAATAAACAATCCAACCAAAAATACTTAGCGAAGAATGCCTAGGCTTCCTCCTCACCAGATGACCCCAACTTGGAAATAAGCGGTTGATTCATACTTGCTCTATTTGCATGTCAACCTTGAATGTAAGCTTATCTTAACAAAAATCTGTGAACTTTAGTTTCAGATATATTTACGTCTAGCGCCAAGGTGAAAAATCCGGAAGAGACAAGAATAAGCTGGGAGGTGAAATGGTTGTGTAGTGGTATACTTTGACGACGAAAATTCGGCTCGACAAATTCGAACAACGATCGAATAAAAAGTTTTGATGCATGTTTCTGTAACTTCTGGGTCCTTCAATTTCCCCAGCTTTCTCTTAAGGGCATTTTAAGTTGCATTAGCCTTATGAGCGACACCGCCGACATTTAGTGATAATCATATCAAGTTGCAGCATAAATAAGAAAGTTGGATATCTGTGTTATTTGTGATGAAGTACGGACCTCACGGTAAATATCGAATAATAGTTCTCGCACGCTTCCAGCCTCCTTGACTAAATTACTTACCTGGAAACTGATATTATCGAAGTTGGAGAATGAGATATGATAAATACAACTCAATGACCACTCATGACTTGTCATCAACATGCACTGCGGTCGGATCAAAGTCGACTGCAATTAATACTAGTAATAATAAAATAATATTATTAATGATAATAATAATTTATTCTCAAATAACAACATGTTACAAGAGGCATGTCAATTCACAGGCAAGATCAAAATGTTATGATTGCTAACATATTTTTTGTAAAACGTTGTTCCGCTACTGAAATATCTCACAAGATACATTGGCTTCATATAGATGGCTAAAATTTTTCACATACAGATATAGATACTTTTCCTCACTCTGCAATGTGCAATGCGAATAATTGGCTGGAGTTACAATGGTTGCGTTACGAAGGCCTGCTACTGTCTGCAAAACAATGCAAGATAGAGCCAGGTCTGCATATAAAAAGAACTGGGAATGTAAGTGTGCTAAGGTCTTCTTCGTATTCTTCAAATAATAAATTTACAGGCTACCGGGTAAATTAACCAAGTGTTCGGCAAATATCCAGGCTAATATTTAAGGATTGGAATAAGATGCTGGAATGGACAAATGGATAGAACGGGGCGAGGAGCAGAACAGAAAATATTCATGTTTAGGACCGAACAATGACTCAGCAGATACTTTTTTAAAAATTAGACTACTAACAGTACACCTGCACACGTGTATGTTAATGAAGGCAAGTCACTAGTAAGAAAACGAATGGGCAATTAATCGTGTGAATTGAGGAAATTCAGACAAAACCAAATTGTTAGCAATAATGTTGATTTACAGAGTATAATAATCAGTAACAATGATCTGATGCTTTTGTGATATTTTGTTTTTCTTTTTTCTTTTTAACTCTGTAGTTCAAGAAGTCATGTGTGAGCTCTTTTTCAGTATAATTGTCTAGATCTGCTTGTAATAATATTTCATGGTGAGAAGTTAAAACCAGGGCAGGGTTACGGACATGAGATCTAGACGAAGTTAACGAGGAAAAAGTAACATCTATATCACTGATTTATTACATCGTACTATATCGTAAGAAGCTGTGGGCAAACAAAATGTTCTGCCCCACAGACATGTATCGATTGAGGTTATAGCCCCACCGTCATGAATGCTGGTTAGATACACCGTACCCCCTCCTTTTGTGATGTTAGGCTCTCTTACGTTTAATGGTAGATTTTAAGTAATATTTTATAGTGTACGCTATTTTCTCGTACACCTAGTTGGAATACACTTCCTCTACCAGCTCCACGTTACAAAACAAACCAGACAACTATGGCTTTAGTTTCCAGGTAAACTAATGGTATAAATTATAAGATGTGTCAGTTAATAAGTAGTTTTGAGATAGGGAGGATAGGGGGCTGCAGAAAGAAAAAGAAGAGTTGAAATTGTGTTAAAAAATTAATGAGAAAAGCGATACGTCGGCAAGCAGGCAAAGTGTTTGGATGTTAATGAATTCGGGAAATAAAAATCCATTAAACTGTTAATACTTAAACAAGAAGGAACTTACAATGGAACGGAGTTTGAGTTCCTTTTAATTGGCTGTAGTTGAGCAGCATCTACAGGCTTTTCGATCTATCTGTCTACTAGAAATAAAAACTATAACTGCTTTGAAGATAAAAAAAAATAGCGACTAGAATTTAAATTTTCGGAAAAGTCCAAATATCACCAGTAGCACCTCAAAGGCGTAACCTATTACTGTTAGTAGGAGCAGGAGGATTCGTCTATCATTTCGTGATACCTGTATGAATGGTAATGCGGGTACAATATTTTCATAGTCTGTAATTACTTTCTACGGTTTATCTTAATATTTGGTGGACCATAAAATAGTGCCTCGTGACTTGGTGTGAATTCCGGGATTAGTCGATTAATTTCTTCTGAGTCTAACAACAGCAGTATGAGTTCCTTGAACTTAGTGATTGTGTCGCAGATTCGGATAGTAATGGGTAATGTGTTCCACAATAGACTGTATCGTATTACAAATAAATTACAATGAAGTGATTTTTTGTGTTTTGCCGTAAATAGTGTATATGCGTTGTTTCTAAATCTGTAAGCAGTGTCGTGGTTCATAATTGGGTGGCATTTTACTAATGAGAGACCACTTATCAGTTTATAGAGAAGTATTGGGTTGTTTCTCATCCGACGGCGCCATGGAGGTGTAGTGGAACGCTTCTACGAAGAAAATACGATTTGTGAAAAATAAACATTATTGTACTCGTTTTGTGTAACTGTACCAAAAAACACTTCTTCCACTTCTTGCGCGCAACGTGCTCTTCACGTTGCTGCCATTTTTCTAAATGCCCTGCTCCCCATGTAATGAAAACGTT